TCATTTTTCAATTGAGAGGCATCTAGGTTGCTTCCAGGTTCTGGCTATTACAAACAATGCTGCTATGAACATGGTTGAACATATGTCCTTTTTGTATGGACATGCATTATTTGGGTATATGCCCAAGAGAGGAATTGCTGGATCTTGAGGTAGACTGATTCCAAATTTTCTGAGCAACTACCATACTGATTTCCAAAGTGGTTTTACAAGTTTGCACTCCCACCAGCAATGGAACAGTGTTCCTTTTTCTCCACATCCTCTCTAGCATAGATTGTCATTGGTGTTTTTGATTTTAGCCATTCTGACAGGTGTGAGGTGGTATCTCAGAGTGGTTTTGAGTTGCATTTCTCTGATGGCCAAGGATTTTGAGCACTTTCTTAAGTGTCTGTCAGCCATTTCAGATTCCTCTGTTGAGAATTCTGTATTTAGTTCGTCTCCCCACTTTTTAATTTCATTGTTTGGTGTTTTGGTGGCTAGCTTCTTGAGTTCATTGTATATTTTGGAAATCAGCCCTCTGTCAGATGTGGGGTTGGTGAAGATCTTTTCCCATTCTGTGGGCTGTCGTTTTGTCTTACTGACGGTGTCGTTTGGCTTCCAGAAGCTTCTCAGTTTCAGGAGGTCCCATTTATTAATTGCAGATCTCAATGTCTGTGCTACTGGTGTAATGTTCAGGAAGCAGTCTCCTGTGCCAATTCATTCAAGGGTATCTCCCACTTTCTCTTCTAGAAGATTCAGTGTGGCTGGATTTATGTTGAGATCTTTGATCCATTTGCACCTAAGTTTTGTGCATGGTGACAGATATGGATCTATCTGCAATGTTCTGCATGTCTGAATCCAGTAGTGCCAGCACCATTTGTTGAAGATGCTATCTCTCCTCCATTGTATAGATTTAGCATCTTTGTCAAAAATAAGGTGTTCTTAGGTCTGCGGGTTAATATCAGTGTTTTCAATTCGATTCCATTTGTCTGTCTGTCTATTTTTTGTGTCAATACCAAGCTGTTTTCAGAACTATGGCTCTATAATACAGCTTGAAGTCAGGGATGGTGATGCCTCCAGAAGACCCTTTATTGTACATAGTTGTTTTGGCTATCCTGGGTTTTTTGTTTTTCTATATAAAGTTGAATATTGTTCTTTCAAGGTCTATGAAGAACTGTGTTGGGATTTT